AGTGAAATGTAGAGCAGTCTCCATTCTCTCCTAGCAACAAAGCCAGCAGTTAAATGGCACGTGGTATGCTTAACCCAGACCAGGTAACAAAACTCAAAGTTCCCTGAAAATAATTTGCATCACACTTCACACCACAAACTGCACTTGTTTTATAGTCTTTCGAATTAAAAACGGGAAAGAACATGAAACTTTCTGAACTGCCACTCTAGAACTCATTGTGGGCTTTTATTTGCAGTCCAGCACTTTACACATTTTTAAAAGATTGAAAGGGGAAGCCATTAAAGAGATGGAAATTACATTGCACTGTTTCTATCTCAAACTGTGTGACTCAGCAAGATACCACTGCTAGATTTAGGTTCTTGTTCTTTTTTTTGCCTCAGATTTCACATAAGAATGCAAAGTCAGAAAGGAGTGCAAAAGCAACCACAAACTCCTATTACAATAGCACAGGCAGCTAGGAGTTCAAACATCCCAGAGATTATATGTTTTAAAGAGCTCTAGGAGTAAGTATAAATGTTCTTGGAGTAGTCCACAACAACTTCTCTAAGCACATCAGCTAATCCACTTAGAAGAGAATACATCCCATGACTCAAATACAATACAATCAACAGTTTTATTTTGGAGATCACTCAACTGTCCCTCAGTGACAAAACACTGAGTCTAGAGCTATCCCAGTGCAAGTCTGGTTGCAGAAAGTTTTCACACATACAAAGTCATAATTATGTTAAGTCAGGGCATTTGTGCCCCCTACAGATGCCACACTAACAGTGTTTTAAAAAGCAGAAGATAAAAATAATGGTTCTCTATAAAAAATGGTCATCAGTAACTTAAAATCTAAGTAATAAGAGATGGGAAAAGAACTTATTAGAAACTGAAGCGACAATTCAAACAAGGTTCAACTTTAAGATACCTCTTTGCAATTGCAGTTACCAAGTGAATTTCAAATTGTATTTGAGAATTTCAGTCACACATTGTTGCTACACTTTCTCTCTTGACACTGCTATCTACATGGTAGGAAGTGAGGTGATTCCTTTTTCATTCACACTAAAACTGCAAAAGATTTTTTCTGTTGAATCTGTACTCCATCATCATCATCATCATGGCTAGGCTTCGCGAACGAAGATTTGGGAAGGGCTCTACCCACGTTTCTTGCAAGCGCGTTGGTGGCTAAAAAGGCCAATACGAGAAAGGCATGACCGGTTGCAAAAGACACAGCAGAAAGACTCCTTAGGTGGTATATTCTGCGAGGCTCGATTCTTTCTGCGTTGTCTTTTCTCCTCAAGGGTGATCCTGCGTGCTTTCTCAAAAGCATCAGCAGCGTTATAAATGGTCTGTCTCCAGGCTTCCCGATTGGAGGCCAGAGTAGACCAGTTATGGTGATCAATATGGCCAAGGCTGAGTTGTTGCTTCAGGGAGTCCTTGTATCTTTTCTTCGGGCCTCCTCTCTTGTGGCAGCCAGTGGCAAGTTCACCGTAAAGCAGGATCTTAGGGAGGCGGTGGTCCTTCATCCTAGAGACGTGCCCTGCCCAACGTAGCTGTGTTCTCAGTAGCATGGCCTCAATACTTGTGATTGCTGCCTGTTCAAGAACAGATGTATTGGTCACATAATCTGACCAGTGAATGTTTAGGATTGTACGGAGGCAGCGTTGATGGAAGCGTTCTAGGAGACGTAGGTGGTGGCAGTAGATGACCCATGATTCGGAGCCATATAAAAGAGTAGACAGCACTATGGCTCTGTAAACACTGATCTTGGTACTTTTCTTCAAGTGTTTATTTCGCCAGACTCTTTTATGAAGCTTACCAAAAGCACTATATGCCTTTGCTAACCTGTTGTCTATCTCCCCGTCAATCTTACCATCGGAGGAGATGAGGCTGCCTAAGTAATTAAACTGTTGGACTGATTTGAGCTCTGATTGGCTGATGGTGATGTGGGGATGATGGGGGACTTCCTGAGGTGCAGGTTGATGGAGAACTTCAGTCTTCTTTAAGTTGACTTCCAGCCCAAAGAGCTCAGCAGCATCTGCAAAGCAGGATGTTAAACGCTGCAGAGCTGCTTCCAACCACTAAATATAAACCACATTTATAAAATATTTACAGATTTATCTCACTTGGGACAGATTTCTTGATTATAATGTTTAGCGTTGAAAAAGGTGAAGCAAACAGGATACTAAGCCAATTCTTTTTTATCTAAGGATAAGATTTGCAGAATTCCAAGTCCTACAAAACAATGCTTTTTAATTTGAAGGAGCTCACTGGTGGCAAAACAAAAACACTCAAGGACTAACAGAGATGATGATAGGCTTTTAAAAGCAATTTTAAACTTCTGTCTTCTCTGGATTACAAGTATAGCTAAAATAATAAGCTAAGTATTTTGTCCTTTTTTCCTCAAAATTATAATTATAGTGCATCTATACAAAACACTCAAGCCCAGCAGCCTCTGAGATTCCTGTCAATCTCAACTACACTAAGGTTTTTCAAATATGGAAAGGGCTTTTGGCTGGACACCAATATTACTTTTGAAACTAGTTTTGAACCTTTCTCAGTCTGGGGGCTCATAATATTTTGAAAATTGAGCTTATTGACAACAGGCTCCTTTTATTCATTAACTTTTGAAGACACTGAGGAAGTATCCTGGAGTTCCTGAGTTCACAAGCTGAAAGCCACTAAGTAATGCACCTCTAGACTCCGAGGAAGCATCCAAATGACTGTAGGACCTCTGTAGCTGACATCCAGTTTTGTAGTCTCTGTAGACTCAGTCAAGATTTTTGCACCCTAAAAATTATCATCTTCATACATGACATCTGCAAGTCAGAAGTTGAAGCACATTTGGAATGCAGCATGTGGGAAGCTTTAAATATTCCCGTATATGGTGTAATTAGTGTACAAAAAGGTGAAGTCCATTGTTCCTCAAAATTCTAAAATACATACTACCATAAGATCCAAGTTTCCTTCTCAATATTTTTGAAGTTTACAATAGTTTAGAATTACTTTTACCTGAATGTTTCTACTGTATTCAACATTAGTAATTTTATGTTAAGTCTCAAAATGGACTTTCCCAAAGGAAGAAAGTATAGCACTTATCAAAACTATGAAATAGCACTACAAATTTTATAATCTCCTAAAGCATGAGGATGGTTGTGCCTTGTCTCCCTGAAAGTCAATCAAACTCTAAAATAAAATGAACTTGAGCAATTTCAGTTCCAGCCACCTCAAATGGAAGACAGATTAACACAAGGTTCAAGAGATGGCCTAAAACCAAGATCTTTCCTCTCTATCTATCATCATGTATCCCACAGCACATTTACAAAAACATATGCATTTATTTTGGCTTGTATCCTTCACCTCTATCCACTAGAAATAAAATACTTTTTATATCTTTATGTGTATTTTACATATTGCCCAATAGTAAAGGTATTCCACCTCTGGTGGGGGGGGGTGGGAAATGGCAAAAAAAAGGAAAAATGCTGCTAATCAGTTCTCACGTACAGCCTTTCTAAGCTTTCCAGTGTAGTATCTTCATTGCTATGAACAGTCACTTATTGCATACCACATTTACTTTTCCTATAAAACACACCGCTTGGAAAACTGACAATTATTTTACCAAACAAGAGTTCTAGTGACTAGATTAGTGATTTAGGGATCATTTTACTATCTCCATCTCAGAAATAGAAGATCCTTCCTAAGAATACAGACTTTTGTCTTCCTGCAATTTACTACAACGCTGATGAACTTTATAAGTTCAGAGTTGGACCCCTAAAATAACAAACCTTAATGATCTATTTTAAAACTATGCATTTTTATTTAAGTTTGGGTATTCCAGTTCTGTTACTTTAACCATGGAGACTAATAAAGTTTAAAAATGGATTGTTTGTTTAATAAACTGGGGTGGGAGGGAAGCAGCTGTCACATGAACTGCCATTATTGCTATGCTATTTCTGGGGGAGACCCATAAAAGTACACAAAACAAATTTCTTAGCAGAAAGAAATTATACCAGTAGAACTGTTATCAGAAAAACAGCATTATTTCCTGTAGCTTCAACTCTTAACTTAAACATCTAATATCTATGCAAGAAAACTTACATGTATCTGGTCATCAGCTTTTCAAAAATTGTTTCCAGATCTGGTACACAACCCTCAGTCTTTAAAGTCTGCATAAAGAAGTAACCTTCAACTCTTTCATAGCATATTTGGTGCACCCAAGCAGTTACAGGACCTTTTCTCTTTTGCTGCTTTTCACTCTCAACTAAAATTACAACATCTAATAATGTATGTATTAAATAAATACTGTTTCTCTTCTACACCGTGTTCCTTATAATATAACTACTAGAAGTGTAGGTGTCTCTCTTTATTTGCTTCATTTCTCCCTATCCAAACCTCTGAGGCACAAGATATAGGTTTTCCTGTGTTTTTTACAATCACACTGATTCTGTCAAAACCCGTTTTCACTGCCTGCCTGTATCCTCACATTTCATTTCAAATAATTTCGGTTTTGAGCTAGAGAAGTGCCACAGGCACAAACTCTCCAAAATCTCTTCTCCACAGTTCACAGCTGCTTTTCCTATTACATCAGCTAAATTCCTTTCAGTTATTTCTCCTTTTTCCCTTGCAAAGGCACACGGACTATGTCATCACATAGCCCAAGAATTTCACGAGGGACAGAACGGCTCAATAACATCGCGAAAACGCTTCACAGCAGCGCCTAGAAACGCACAGCGGACCGAGACCCCACAAAACCGGTTTAATGTACAATTATTTAGATGATGCACAACAGACAATGTTGAAGAGTGAAGCACATAAAACACAACAACACATAAATCAGCAGGACGGCGGCCGCCCGAAGCGGGACACGGGTGTTACGGGGGCAGCGCCGACCCGCGTGGTCGTCGCCGTGCGGCTCCGCCCGCCCGGGCCCCGCTGCGGCCACTCATCCCGGCACGGGGCGCTGCCGCGCGAGGCAGCCCCGGCTCAGGCCGTTTTGCCGCCGCCCCGGGCCCCCTCACCTGTGGCCGGCGGGACCCCCAGGCCGCGCCGCTCCCTCCATCGCGGCCCCGCCGTTGCTATGGGCCCCCACCCGCCGCTGCCCTTAACAACGGCGCGCGGCACTGAGGCGCGCCGCCATTGGCCCGGAACGCGAGCACGCCGCCCGCCCATTGGCCGCGGAGCCACGCACGCGCAGAGGAGCAATAGTCCCCTCCCCTACTGCCGCCTCCGCTGCAGTCGCGGGAGGAGCCCTGGGAATCACAGGGTTCCCTCAGGGACACTCCCCACTACAGAGACACTTTTCCCCAAGGAAGCCCGGCCCAACAGACCCTCGTCGCCAAGGCACTCCCGCCCTCCCCATGTCCGCAGCCCCCGCAGTGCCATCGTCCGTTCGGGCGTGTCCTCGCACGCAGCAGAAGTGCCGCTCCCGCCGGGTCAGGCGCTGGCCTGTCTCTTCGAGAGCTCGAAGTTTGCCTTCACCAGGATGTCGGCAGCGCTCAGCTTCCCTCGCTCCCGCAGGTACTTCATGACGTGAGGCCGCCGTCTCCAAGTGACCTTTACTCCATACTCGTGTTCGGGAGTATCTGTAACCAGCACTGCTGCCGACTTCCCTCTCCCACAGGGATCAATACCAAATGCCAGCTCTTTTTCTGGATGCCAGGTATCACCACTTTGTGACAGAGTGTTGCTGCATCTCCAGTTCCTTAGGGAAGGCACCTGTGGAGCCTCTGCATCTGGTAGACTAAAAGCTTCTTGCTCCACAGGCTGGAGAGCAGGTTCTCTACAGTTCTCTGGACCCTGCACTTGGATATTGGCATTTGCTGCTGTCCCTTTCTTGAGCTGGCTGTGAGAACACTGTGTGTCCTTCCTTGAGTGCTTTGGATGATCCAAGGGGTGGCCTGCACGTCCTTCTGGATTCTCGAAAGTTAAAGGAGGAAATTTGCAGGCTGCAGCTCTTCGACAAGGTCCTCCTGCGTGAAGCAAACTGTGGTTGGCATCCTGATTCTGGGGCTTGTGAGGACCACGGTGCTTCTTCTGGCATGCTTTCAACACCACTGGCTTAGTTGTTTCAAATTGTGGGCACACCTGAAAGAAAAGACATAATAATAAGATAAAACCCCAACCATTTTCTCCAGACAAGTAATGCCAGCCTGATTCTGCTTCGCCACCTGTCCCATCTTTTTTCGGTGTGTTCACTGAGTAAGCTGGTCTGCTGCAAAGGGAGTCACTAACAAAGCTGCTACGCAGGAGATGCCTCATGAACATCACATTCTGCCACTCTCCTCAGAAAACTCATTGGGGTGCAAGTGAGCTATTCTCTGGCAATGTAGAAAAAACTCAAGAATTGGGTTTAAAGGAAATCTAACTGGTGGCTACTCCTGTAACCCCTGTACATTTAAAACAGTTCAGAAATTGATCCTTTTTCTTTCTGTGTCTTAGCATAACTCCAAATAGATTCAGTGAACTAAATCCTCAGTCTCCCTGAACAGGTAGAGGTTGAATTGAGAGAGTGATTAAAGGATGCCCACTTAGCTGAGTCCCCTTAGATTATGTTAATACGGTATTCACAGTTTTCCCCCAAAACATCCAGATCACCCCAAATCCTCTTCTAAAATCAGCTTCCTATAGGAGGTGGTCCAAGCTCAACAATCTACATTTCTTTGAAAGATTCTGGACTCTTACTCAAACCCTGGAAATAATTTTTTTGCTGTGTTCTTTATCTTCCTGGTTATCAACAAAAAGAGTCAGATTCTGTTTGAAATTGCAATTTGTTTTTCCCCAAGGGACACCAAACTGGGTTCTCGCTACAGTAACTACAATCTCCTTCAGCATTCCAAAGTTACAACATAATTCCTCAAAAAACTAAGTACAGTTGAATTAAGGATAACAATTGTCTGCTGTACAACTGAACTGCTTGAATGCAAAGCCTTTGTGCAGGAAAAGGAAAGTGATTCCATGATAATTGTATCTTGGCACATACTCAACACAGGTCAGTCACTGACTTTGAGGATATGACTTCCTGGCTTCAGAGAGCATGTATGGTAGGAGCCTAGCAGTCAAGAAGGTATGAAAAACTTAGATAACATCAAGAAGAGAGGAGCAGAAAATCAATTGTCACTCAAACAGGTTGACACACACTCTGCAGAGGATGCCTCCAGAAGTTACAAACCTACCACAGTTTTCAAACTGAAAAATATCTAACATTTTAAGCATTTCAAACAAATTTTAAAATCGTATGTTTAGAATCAAAGAGTTACCAATGTGGATATTTCCAACTCTTCCAAAGAAAAAGAATGCTTATTCACAGCAGTTATTTTACTTAGTATTTTGGAAGCCACAGAGCTAACTGCCTCAAGCACATACAAAAAAAAAAGTTAAAGGGAAAAGATGGAACATGTTCTACTTCAAGGTTAAGGCATCGCAAAAATAACTTCAGGTCACCAGGAACAAAGGAATATCTCATGCAGGTTTCAAACCACACTTCCTGAGCTGCCTTTGTGAAGAGCTGAGTTGAGCAGCAACAATGCTTAAACAGTGCTGAAATGCTTAAAAGAGCTCCCCTAGGTGATGACTGCTGTTGTATAGGAACAGTCTGTCATTGCAGCACCTGTTTGTTTAAAAAACCCCTGTCCTTAGATAGGGGCATCTTAGGAAAATGCAAACAGTCCCAGAACAGGAGCCCATCAGACCAGAAAAGGGGCCCATAAGAAGATTGATATAGAGAGAAACTATTCAAAAGACACAGAATAGAAAAGAGGACAGGTTAGAACAAATAATCCTGAAGTGAAAACCTATGTTCTCTAAATTTAGCAGTGTCAAATTTAAGCAAAGCAACTAGTACTTTAACATGTAACATTTAGAGTTCAGCAGTTATTTTGAGCAGCCAGCCAATAAAATTCCCCTTCATATTTATTATGTGCAGGGGTTTCAGTTGCCATAGAAAACAGCATCTTCGTGATAAGAATTATTTTTCCAGAAATAGTCATATTAACCAGTACAGACTGCACACAGTTTTACACATTCAAATAACCATGACCTTAGTGGTTGGTGTTAGACTGTGAAGCAACTCATAAGCACTTATTTATGTTTTAGGCTGCTACAATGAATTCCAGTTTGGGCTACTAATTTTTCAGTAACCAGAACAGATAACTTTTTGTTGAGACATATGGGAAAAACTTGAAAATCGTGGCTGTGGGACACAGGGGGAAGGATAATCTATACCAACCCAGGCAGCAGAGGTGCTCCGGTCTACAGGTTTTGTAGGCACACGTCTGGGATTCTGGGCCAAAGGCAGCGGAGTTTCATAGCTATGGATGGGTCCTGCCCGCGGCTTCTCAAGGAATACCAGCTCTGCCTTCCTGGCCTTGTGGGTACGTTTCTTCTTTGGAGGCATCAAGAGGTATGGTAAAACCACTTAGAAACGTCATGATGCTTGTTAGAGCCAGTTGGAGAAAGAGGGAAGCACCCCAAGGAGATGCTGAAGTGCTCTTGATTCTGTAGAAGGCAAATAAGTGTATTTGAAGATAGACTTGTTTGGAAGCTTCAGATCTAGTTTTTAACAAAAGCAAAACATTTATGCAGCAGTTGAGCATACAAGTCTCTAGGCAGACTTTTTCCTACCAGTAGTTTTTGAACCTTCTGTTGATTTTCAGGTAGATTTAGGAATGCACAGCAGGATTTGGAGCAGTTGACCTACTGATCCAGCTATATCAAATCAGCTATCAAAAAAAAAAAGAAAAACTTGCTTTTTTTCCAATTTAATTTAGTTTGTAATGCCAAGAATATACTGTAGGGCCAAGGTAACCAGAAGTCTTTACATTTCTAGTTGCTAACTACCTTTTTAATTAAATACCTTTTAATTTCAGGAATTTTTAAGGTTTTTAGTTTGTTTTTGTTACAGTTGACATTTCCTTCCTGTATTCTGCAGATCTCGCATGATTTACTTTTTTTTTACCTAATGAATAAATTTGAATTGAAGCAACATTGAATTTAATTTTCCATTGAAAAACAGATCACAGAATCAATTAGGTTGGAAAAGACTTCTGAGATCATCGAGTCCAGGCTGTGACCAAACACCACCATGTCAACTAGACCATGGCACTAAGTGCCACATCCAGTCTTTCCTTAAATACCTCCAGGGATGGCAACTCCACCACCTCCCTGAGCAGCCCATTCTATTGTCTAATCACCCTTTCTGTGAATAAATTCTTCCTAATGTCCAACCTAAACCTCCCCAGGCACAGCTTAAGGCTATGTCCTCTTGTCCTGTCACTTGTTACCGAGGAGAAGATGCCAACCCCCACCTGGCTACAACCTCCTGTCAGGTAGTTGTAGAGTGCAAGAAGGTACCCCCTGAGCCTCCTTTTCTCCAGGCTGAATAAACCCAGCTCCCTCAGCTCTTCTTCATAGGACTTACTCTCTAGACCCTTCACCAGCTCCCTTGCCCTTCTCTGGACATGCTGCAGCACCTCAGTGTCATTCTTGAATTGAGGGGCCCAGAACTGGACACAGCACTCGAGGTGTGGCCTCACCGGTGCTGAGCACACGGGGACAATCACTGCCCTGGTCCTGCTGGCCACGCTATTCCTGATACAGGCCAGGATGCCAGTGGTCTTCTCGGCCACCTGGGCACACTGGTGGCTCGTGTTCAGCCGGCCTGAATCACCACAGGCGAGCTCAGAAGAGGAACTCCAAAAAGAACATTTTAGGAGAGATGTATAAGAATGCAACATCCTGACTGCTTACCAGAGACGCAGCGTCCTCGGGGCGTCCTGCGGGCTCCTGCAGCCCAGTACAACCGTGACACGCGTTAAACGGCGAAACTCCGCGGCTCTTCACCAGGGGCCAACGCACGGCCGGCGACCCGGGCAGAGAGCAGGGCTTCCAGGCGGCGCGGCTGGAAGGAGCTCCGGGGACCGCCCCAGGCGGGGCGGCTCTCCCGGGACGGGACCCCGGGACGGACCCCAGCCCGACCGCTCCAGCCCGGCGCGTCCCGCCGGCCCAGCCGTATCCCCCGCCGCCACCGCCCATTGGCCCGCGCTGCCACCGCCCTGCCCCCGCCCCCTCCCATTGGCCGCCACCGGGCCACCCCGCCCCCGCCGCCGCTCACTGGCCCAGGCCGGCACGTGACCAGGCCGGGGCCCCGCCGGGCGCCAAATTCAAACCGGGGCCGCCCCGGGAGCGCCGGAGTCGTCGTCACTTCCATCGGCCCTATCCGCCCGGGAGCTGGTGAGTCGCCACCTGCGCCTGCTCCACCTCCAGTATCCCCCTGCAAGGGCCGGCAACCCCGGGCGGCCGCGCTAAGACCGGAGGGCGCCTGGGAGAGGGAAGCGCTTAGGCCCGGCCTGGGGCGGAGGGACCTCGACGGGGCAGGCGGACTTAACGGCGGGGCGCGGTGGCGCTGGGGCTAGGGCTGGCGGAGGAGGAGCGGGGAGCCCTTTAGCACTGCCCCTCTCACCACCCCGAGGCCTCGTGTGCACAGGGATGCTCCTGGGCCTTTACTGGTGGCAGCAGCTCCAGGCCTGTTTGGGAAGTGGCGCGCTCCTGTAGGGAAGGCAGTCTGTTGGAGGCTGGCTAAAGGCTCCTCTTTGGGCGCTGTCTGACTGGGATGTCTCTTTAAGGGGGTGGAGCAGATCGCAAAGGGCCGTACGTGTGCTTGTGTGCCACGACACGCATGGAGTGCGGAGCGTTCCCGTCGGTGCCGGGCAGCTCCCAATCCCGGGGCTGTCTGATCCCTGCGCGTAGGGCAGCTCGGTTTGTTTTCCGCTGGACTCTCTGCTTTGTATCAATGTAGGTGACTCTTACTGAGATTTTTCTCGTTTACCTGCTGGCCCAGTCCAATCTAGCAAAGTAAAAGGCCTCCTTTTTTATCATTTATCATATCATAGGGATGCCAGGCATCCCTAATGATAAACAAGAAGTACAATTTGTGTGTTCTCGTTTTGTTATAGTTTGCTGTAAGACACAGGTTCCACCAAATTCTTGATGGCATTATAAGCAGTATTCTCACTGCATCTTATCCTGGAAGCAGTATCTATGAATTTTATTTCCTCTGCTTCCTGCTTTATAGTCTAAATCTCCTGTTGTCAAAAACTTTGACATTTAAATGTATGCTGCCCAATGAGGAATTTATCTGGTTCTTGACAAATCTACAGAAAGAATGACTGGAGCATTTACTTTACATCTGTTTTAAAGCACCTAACTTCTGCTGCATTTATTGTGTGCTTTTGTAGTGTTTGGGATAATCTCTTCTTCCCAGATCTTAAACCATCTGTAAATTCCCTTTTCACTCAGGTAGTGTAATCTTCTATAAGAATCAGGACTGCTACTTCTATGTTCTACTTTCTATCCATTCCTGCTTGCTGGCTGATACTGGCCAAGTTACATTATAGCTAAGACTTTCTATAAAGTACAAATACACACTTTCCTCATTATTATGTCCTTTGTGATGCAACTTATCTACTGTGCAAATATCTCTCCTGTCCTGCTTACACAAGGTGCTAGTAAAGGAGGTACAGTATGACTTTTCAGTAGCCTTGCCAACCTTATTAAACACCTTTGATTTTGTTTTCCTCTTGTGTTTTTGGCTTTGTAGCAATTGCTGAGAATGTGTGCTCTGTGGGAGGCCTGTGATGATTTGCTGCACTCTTTATGTTGTATCTTTTGTTTTACAGGGTTTGTTCCTCTCCCTTTCAATGGAGAGTGACAGTATAGATCAATAATGAGGACCAGCCCTCGCAGGCCCTTAATTCTCAAAAGACGGAAACTGACCCTCCCACAGAAGGATGAATCCAGCACTTCAGCAAGAGATGAGAACAGAGGTCAGGATGAAAAGACTCCCAAGCAGGAGCACATTCAGGAGGACCAACACAACAGACAACCCAGAGACAAAAGGGACTGTGGCCTGCAGAAATTCCCAGCGGGAATAAAGATAATTGACCATCCTACAATGCCCAACACACAAGTGGTGGCCATCCCTACAAATGCTGATATCCAGAGCATCATAGAGGCACTGACGGCAAAAGGAAAAGAATGTGGCAACGATGGACCCAACAAGTTCATCCTCATTAGCAGTGGGGGCACGTCCCGTTCAGCAGGTCCAGCACCATCACAGCATCTCCCATCAGAGAAGAAAGCCAGTGCAGAAGTCAAAGCTGCAGATGGTCCAGAAAGAGAGAAGAATATTACACAGACACCTGGTCTTGTGGGCAGGACAGCGCTCTGGCATTCAGGAGTTGGACAGGAGTTGGATTCTGCGGTTGGACAGGAACAGGAGAGCAACAGTATGTAGTCTTTACCAGGTTTCTTTTGTTTGGTTGGTTGATTGGTTTTTTGTCCTGACAGACAAAGAGATGTGAAGTGGGCCAATGAGTGTAGTGCTTGAATCTCGGTATGGAGTAACAAATAATATTTTGTTAATAACAAAATAGCCTATAGATTTGATTCTAATAATCTACATAGCTTTGGATATCTAGTGAAATCTGAAGGATCACAGTGCGCATATGTTTTTGGTGGAAGACATCTGAGCTTCTGACTTGGATCTTGTGCTGCATCTTTCGGTTAGAGTCTATCATCACCATCCTTGGCTTCTGCTTACTAAATTCATCCTTTAGCTAACGATATTCTTGAAGCACTAGATGAACATTGTCCTGTTTTGGTTGACAGCAGTAGTCTGGTTTGAGTGTTCATTTTTAAGGCTGCAGCTCTTTTAAGAAATAGGGCAACTTCACATGAAATCAGGAATTCAAGAGTAATTCCTTCCACAACATTAGCATTGCAATACCATCTTTTACTAGTGTGACTAAGTGCCTGCCTTTTGACAGTTGAGATGAAGGGTTAAGAGGATTACTTGTAAGTAAGCAGAATTATGATAAGGAGTCCTGCACTTTTGTCACAATCCCATGCAGTACTACAGGCTGGGCAAAGAGTGGATGGAAAACTGCCCAGCAGAAAAGGACCTGGGGGTGCTGGTCAGCAGTGGCTGACCATGAGCCAGCAGTGTGCCCAGGTGGTCAAGAAGGTCATTGGCATCCTGGCCTGTATCGGAAGTAGTGTCTCCAGCAGGACCAGAGCAGTGATCGTCCCCCTATATTTGGCACTGGTGAGGCCACACCTCAAGTGCTGTGTCCAATTCTGGGCCCCTCACTACAAGAATGATACTGAGGTGCTGGAGTGTGTCCAGAGAAGGGACACAAATCTGGTGAAGGATCTAGAGAGTAAGTCCTATGAGAAGCAGCTGAGAGAGCTGGGTTTGTTCAACCTGGAGAAGAGGAGGCTCAAGGGAGACCTTATTGCTCCCTACAACTACCTGACAGGAGGTTGTAGCCAAGTGGAAGTCGGCCTCTTCTCTCAGGCAACTAGTGACAGGATGAGAGACCACAGTCTTAATCTGTG